TTTACAACGAACGAAAATCCTGCTTTGTCAAGGCAGGATACAGAAATGATGTTTCTGCTCATACTAGGTACAAACAGGCAATTATTCAAATGCAATATAAGACCACTAGGTAGAGATAAACTATAGGTTCCGACGGCCAATGCATAGATGAGTGCGCCATTGCCGACTTTTAGTTGTATCTCTCCCTCCGTCAATTGTCTACATTCATGCAAGTTCTGCATAGAAGTACAGATGTGAGAACCACATCCAGTATCCATCACCCAAGAGGTGATATCAGACATATTGACTTCGATAACGTAAATTCCTGAGTTTTGGGGCTGACCCTGGTAAAGGTCTCTTAAGCATTGTATCATAGGACGCACTTCCATGTCCGCGTGGAGCCTTTGGAGCTCCGCGGTCATACTGGCCATAATGATACACTTTACATCTCGCGCATCGTCCTCATACTTCTTGTAGGAAGTGAGTTCGAACACACAAGCATCAGCATCAGGGGTCTTGGGAGGATCCGTTTCGAGGATGTAGAGTTTGCTCTCACAGTCAAGAACGATCCAGAGGTTCATCTCCCAGTCAAGAAAGTTGGTCCCGGATAATAACTTGTTGTTTTCCAGGATGTAACGCAGGTTGAAAGGGTTGTTGTTGTTTGCCATCTACAGAAAATTTTGCAAACTAGGTTATCTATCATTTTTAATAATTAATTAGGCCTTTAATTAATTATCTCCCACTATTTTTAACAAATCAATAACCCTCGATATTGATTTGGAGATTTCCGGTGAAACCTCTAGTGTGCCAAGATCCATATTTCATTATCTTGTGTTCCGCTTGGGCGTTACTCCACAAGACAACTATTTAGGTAGGAACATAGTTCTAACTGATGAGCCGGGCTCTCAGCTCTTGGTCTGGTGTTGGGCGAACAATATTACTTCAACCGGACCAGGACACCTTTTCACCATACTTGTAATTGGCTGAGGCACGTCTTACAAGCAGACTACTTTGGTTAGGAACAGAGTTCCAATAAAATCATAAAGATCCAACTCCTGGCTGGATGAGTGAGTAAAATCATCTGACTTGTCATTGATGACCCCAACTTACTGCCTCTGAGTCGTCCATCCATTTGACTGAGACTCAGGTTAAGTCTAACCCCACGTGCGACAGCGACCACGCTATGGCGGTTCCCGTAACCAGCTTAACATACACCGTACGATGCTCTGCTAAGGCTGAGTACATGACAGTGCACATTAGCCGGATAGGTGCCGGGTGTCAGAAGGCAACAGACTTAATATTCGTGAGGGATTTATAATTTTGATCTCACCTATCGACATGGACGTGCACATGTCCATTACTAGCGTTCAACATACATTCAACATGCATTCACAAAACGCAGTAAATAAACGTGTAATGATTGTGGCCCCTAAAAGAAAAATAAAACGATGGCTCCCACTGGCTTCCAAGCACTTGGACTTCGGGCTATCTCCATTCTTTTAGATTTCTCCAAACGGTCTTCAAATCTTTTCGTCTTTAAACAACCACGTGAGAAAAGAATCCTCAGTTGAGGTAAGAGAGAGAAATAGATTTACAACAAGAGTTTAAGAGATAAGGCACGACACGCAGGTCGTATTATAATCAAATAAACTATAGCCACAATCATCCACCATGCATATCATACATCCACACAAGCAATAGAGATATACATACACCGGGTGAACCGCGCTCACCCCAGACAGTTCTAGAAAAATACTACGGCAGTAAATATTTTCTAAAACTCATAAAATTAAATTAGATGTCCAAATAAATCTAATAAAATTTTATAAAATCATTTTATATAATCTGGATATTTGGCCAGCATAAAAAAAAATATCCAGAATATTCCAAATGACCAAAATGCCCTTTTTGCAAAATTATATTCAAAAAGGCCATTAAAATTTTGAAACAATTTTGCAAAAATCATGAAAATTAAATTTCAACTTCCCGTAATTATTTTCAACATTTATAAACCTGGAAAGAAAATTTCCAAAATTTATAAATCATTATATCCAAAATATATTAGTTAAATCTCAATAAGTTATAAAAAGCCATTTAAATTGATTTCGAAAATATTAAATTACAAAAATTTAATATTTTGGAAAACAATCTTTTTCTTACTGAGATATAACTTTCCAAAATATATATTAGTCATTTATGTAATTAAAATACAAATATATAAATATATATAATATTTCGGTAATAAAACCGAGTACATATATAAATATATATTTATTTAATTA